TGGCAGCAGCAATATACAGTAAATAAATCAATAAATCCACTGCTCTCGTCTCCTCTGAGTCTGGGACTCTAAATAGTGTTCTGTGCTCGTCTGTGCAGCCAAAGACAGAACAGTTAGCATGTTTTGCTCAAACTTTCACCATGGCATTGGAGCTGGTACACCGTTGTCGCTTGCAAAATCAAATGACGGTGCCGTGGGTGGAAACGTACAGATTAAGGGGCGGTAATATTATAATGAGATCCCTTTGCCACGTCACCAAGGGAGCGAAATCAGACGCGCTCGTTTTTTCAGATGCTTGCAGAAAAAGGCTTACCAAAACAAAGTTACTGGGTTAATCTTTTTCACATTTCCTTGGTTGGTAGATGCACTGGGGACCTGATTATAGCACTTAAAACCTGGAAAAGTCAGATTTTCATGATATGCCACCTTTAATACCATTTCCTATATAAGCAGAATTTAGCACAACAAGCAATTTCTTTTTTTATTTTTTTTTTATTAATTGCTTGTTGGGTTGACATAAGCCTACGGTGTAACTAAAATATGTGTAAACACAAAATAAATCTCTGAAATATAAAATAAAATAATAAAGGTGGTTTTAAAGACAGTGATTTGAGATTGAGTATAACTTCGCTAACTATATTTAATAAACTTATAGGCCTGCCTACTAAGCCGACACAAAATTTGGTCAGGAGACCATGTATGGAGTTCACCACATGAGATAAACCACATTAGGGCCACATAAAGTTGGAAACTGATTAAAAATAGCGAGTACATCCTCAAGCGGCCCGGTCCCAAGAGCGGCTCAGCAGATGCAGTGCTGATGTGGAAGTCAAGACAGGGGCTATCATGGGGCCGTTTCTGAGAGGGGCCCCCAGAGGGGCCGAGCTCCCCTGCTTCTCAGTAGGAGCTAATGAATATGAACAGACAGAGGGCATATTGCCCAGTGTCTGTCTTGGCCTGTTTACCACAAAACTAATAGGACTCAGCTTTAAGGAAGAGGAACCCAAGGGAACCCATCTCCCTCCTGAGAGCGATTCAAGCACAACATGGAGAAACTGACAACTGAGGATGAGACGAGAAAAAGAGGAATAAAGTTGGAAAGGAAAAGAAAAAATAAAGCCTTTATATCTGAAGCTCTTTTCCATTTCCTAATTATCACAAGCTTTGAAAGCCACACTACAAAGGAAGTGAAAGCACAGACAAAATCAGGCAACAATTAGCCAAGCGAGACCAATCAATGAAACAACAAATTAAAGGTCTTGTAACAACACTGCCTGCGGCAAAACGCTTTCATTGTTCCAGAGGTGTTAATGACAAGCGTGTCTGTTAACTGTGCATTTTATTATAGCCTTTTTGGTCAATTTAAAGGGATAGATCACCCAAAAATTATAAATGTGTCATTTATTCACCTTCATGTAGAGAAGTATAATAAAAGTAGTCATTTTGACTCATACCCATATATTCCATGTCTTCTGAAGCCATATGACTGAAATTTAAGACTGTTCATTGAAAACCTTGCTTGAAAGTTATGGTCACCATTCCCTTTAATTATACTGAAATAAGGCATTCTGGTACGATTGACGAGAAAATTTCATGGATTTTGAAAGACATGAGAGAGTGAGTACATGATGGCAGGATTTTCATTTTCTGGGTACTATTTCTTTAAAGTTATCACTGCTGAAAAAAGTTGATTATGATTACCGGGGCAGAGAAACAGAGTAATAAATGGCTAAACAAATGACAACCAACCTGTGGTGTGGATCCGTCAAACCCTTCTTTTCGGATGACCGTCTGGATAGACTTCAGGAGAGCATGATAGGGTACTGGTAATGGACTGAAAGAACATGACAAGAATAAAATATACTTATTTTGAACATTTTCAGCACGAACATTTTCAACATTAATAATAATAATAATAAGAAATGTTTCTTGAGCAGCAAATCATCATATAAGAATGATTTCTGAAGGATCATGTGACACTGAAGACTGGAATAATGCCTGTGAAAATTAAGAATTACATCACAGGAATAAATTACATTTTAAATTATATTGAAACAGAAAACAGTTATTTAAAGTTGTAATATTTCACAATATACTGTTTTACTATATTGTTGATCAAATAAATGCAGCTTTGGTAAACATAAAAATTCTAAATTTGTACTAACACTAGGGCTGCACGATTAATCGCATGCGATATTTAACGCGCATCTTGTCAGAAAGCCGGTTCTCTAATCAGCGGTAAATCTCCATCACCTGCGTGCTTTCACATTGAGCAGCATTAACTACACAGAGCCGTTGTTCACTGATGAGCAGCGCAAAAAATCGCGCGAATATGAACGTGGTTTAGCGCAGCTCACCAGTGAACAACGGCTCTGTGTAGTTAATGCTGCTCAATGTGAAAGCCCGCAGGTGATGGAGATTTACCGCTGATTACAGAACCGGCTTTACTGATAAGATACTGATAAATATCGCATGCGATTAATCGTGCAGCCCTAACTAACACTAAACCCTGAATATTACTGTAATTATTGTAATAAAATAAATGCAACCTTTGAGAGCATAAGTGTCTTTCAAAAATAAAATAAAAATGGTACAGATCCCAATCTTTCAAAGAGTAACGTAAGTGTAAAACGTAGTCACATTTAACATTTCTTTCTTTTATCAGATGCTTTAATCTAAAGTAACAAGTGTGGAATTGTGCAATTAATCATACCGATGTGTCAAGAGACTTAAAACTGTAAGAGAAGTTTCAAAGTTGACTTAGAACAAATGTGCAAACAAATGTGCAAACAAATGATAGCTTTAAACCATGTTTATTATTTATTTTTTTATGCAAAGGTTCAGTTTCAGGAAAATGCTTGAATGTGGACTATTATGATCATGGCTTCATACCAGGTCAAAAGCTGATGATATCTGTGTACACTTCAATTAAAATCACTAATTGTTGCGGCATATGCTGCCATCATAAAGTGGGATTTGCTTTGATATCACAAAAGCCTGTTGACATCGGCAGTAACCCTGGCAACCTAGCCGTGCATGTAGACGCAAGGAAATACATCACTAATTAAATCAAATGAAATGAAATGAAATTAATTAAACACTTTGGCACCTCTGTCAGCTCCGGGCACTCCCCCTGAGGCCTGCGGTGAGTCTGAGTGTGCTGAAACAGAGCGCTGTGTTAACGGGACAGTGCTTCTGATCCCAGTGACACAGCGCTTCTATGTTAAATCAGGGGTAAGATGTGCAACTCTTAGCAAGGGAGGTCAAAGCACTTGACCTGCTCTGTGTTGCACATTTTGTCTTTACTCAAATATGTTTCTTGCTTTCTTTCTCCCTAAAATCTGAGAATATTATACAGTGTCATAAAACGTATTTAGAACCCAAAACTGCATTAGATAACAAAATACCACATGGCATTTATCTTATGGAAGGTTGGCACAAGCACACATTTCAAGTGTAATATTATGTTACAAAATTAAGAATACTAAGTTTAACATTATTCAACAACAGAAACACTCCCGTTCAAAAATTTGGGGTCAGTAAGGTTTTTTTTCTCATTCTGTAAGACGCATTAAATTGGGGAAAAGTGACAAATCTTTTGTAACATCTTGAAAGTCTTTACTATTTCAAATAAATGCTGTTCTTTTTAACTTTTAATTCATCAAAGAATCCTGAAAAAAAGTGTATCACAGTTTCCACAAAAACATTAAGCAGCACAACTGTTTTCAACATTGATAAGATATTTTTCTTGAGCAGTAAATGAGCATATTGAATGATTTCTGAAGGATCATGTGACACTAAAGAATGGAGTAATGATGCTGAAAATTCAACTTAGCATCACATGAATAAATTAGATTTTAAAATATATTCAGATATAAAACAGTTACTTAAAGGGGTCCTATTATGCTTTTTCACTTTTTTAATTTTAGTCAGTGTGTAGTGTGTATGTTTGGGCATAAAAAAGATCTAGAAAGTTACAAATCTCAACAAGTCCACTCCAAAGGGAGATATTTCGTTTTTTAAAAATCCCTTTGTTTTTTTTCACCTCCATGCCCAAACGTCTTTGAGAATGCCCAAAGTATTGAGAATGCCCACTAGCAACCTCATCGCCGGCCCCTGGTGACATGCAGCGACAAAAGTAGGGATGGGCGTATCGATCCGAAGTATCGATATATCGATACTGATGCGAGTATCAAAAGTATCGATACTCAAACAAAAAATATCGATACTAAGGTGCGTTTTATTTACCAATAAGGGGTATCGCCCATCCCTAGACAAAAGTCGCTGCTAGTGTGAACGGGGCTTAAGCTGTTCGCCAATCACAACGCACTGGGACAGCTAACCAATCACAACACATTTTGTTTTTTGGAAGGCAGACCTTCATCAAAGCTGGAACTAATCGAGCCGTTTGTGCCAGGCTGGGAAGAAAGGTATTTTAATAATGTAAATTATGTGAAAAATAATGCGTTTTTCGAACCACCAAGCATGAGAGCATGTTCTAGTACACCCCCAAAACAAAATCAAGACTTTGTAAAAGAGCATAATAGGACCCCTTTAAAATTGCAATAATATTTCAAAATATTACTGCTTTTACTGCATTTTTTTACCAAATAAATGCAGCCATGGTGAGCATAAGAGACTTGAAATGCAATGGCATTCAGACATTCTGAAGACTCCTATTACTATTCAAAGCAAGTGCATTTTTGTTTGAAATATAATGATGACGATCAAGCAGCCTGTTGAGATTAAACTACTAGACTGAGATTTATGTCTTTGCTCATTTAAAGATATATATCACACCTCAGGGGTTTTGTAAAGTCTTTCATTCTGTCACTTCAGTCATTCATTTCAGTCTTTCCCTCTCATTCTGGCTCACAACATGTTGTAATGACCACACTGTGCCACTCTGCATGCAGCTACGACAGCCATCAATTACTCAAAGATTGAGAACTGAATTTAAATCTTGACAAACAGCAACATCCAGGCCTGACACATACTTTTAGTTGTGTTCAAAAGGACTAGCATAATTTTTCTGATTCTAGCTCAAATAATGGGATTATAACTTTTATGACACAGGTTTTGACACAGTCACACATGTCAAATGCACATAATAATTAAGTCTCAAAATTAAAATTTTCTGTGGTAATCATTATGAACAATTAGTGTCGATAGAACTGATTATGAATCTTCCATCTGATTATTAATCTTCCATCTGTGCATATTCACATAGTGTTCAAACGTTTGGGGTCAGTAAGACTTTTGAAATGACTTTTATGGTTTTGAAAGAAGTCTCTTGTGCACACCAAGGCTGCATTTATTTGCTCAAAAATACAGTAAAAATACCTTAATATTGTAAAATTTAAAAGAACTGTTTTCTTTTTAAATATATTTTAAAATGTAATTAATTCCTATGATGACCAAGCTGAATTTTCAGCAGCCATTACTCCAGTCTTCAGTGTCACTGATGAACAGAAAGTTTAAAAGAACAGCATTTATTTGAAATAGAAATATTTTGTAACATTATCAATGTCTTTACTGTCACTTTTGATTAATTTAATGCATCCTTGTTAAACAAAAATATTAATTTCTTTAAGAAAATATATTATTGAGCCCAAACATTTCACGCTCTAAAGCCACCTCACTGATTTGCTCCTTAATGGGGTGAAACCCGTGTTTCCCTCCTTTGATTAAGACCTGGGGAGGTGGGGGTGGTGGCAATCAAAAGAGGACACGCCCCCATTGTGTCTGAGACAGAGACCGCAGCAGCCTAACAGAGCGTGATCGCTTAAGGTGCCGTCCGTTGAGGATAATGGCCGACAGGTGAGCTAATTAAGATCACAGTGATGCGAGCGAGAGGGGGACCAGAGGGGCGCGTGGAGGCAGCATCCGTCTTAAACAACAGGCTCCGCATTCACCTGGAGAGCAATTTGTGCCAATTACGGCACGTAGTGAAACGGAGCAATTTAACAGTCTGGAAACGGCATGGGGCTTTTTATTCTATGAGCTGTGAAATGTGGAAAGACAATGAGGGTTTTTTTGCATCTCAAGACATTTGGTTGTCGCTTAAGCTTGCTGATTAATTGATTTCTTTGAAAGGGATAGGAAGCAGTTTTCTACATCTGATTCTGCCCCAATTTGTTTATTGTGAAATTATCAACATAGGCTCATAGAAAAAAAAAAAATTTTTTTTGGGAAACTCCAAAAAGTACATATATACAATTTGCTGCAGTTCCCAGCTCAAATAAAAACTAAAGGTAGTAAAATAGCAACAACTTGTATTTCTTTTCTCACAAATTATGATCAGATTATCGATTTACAGACTTCTTTCCCTGCACAATAATATGTTATGATGACCCCAAAATACTTTTAGCATAGTGCATGATTTGTAAAGTAAACCATTTGACATCCGCATCACATGACCAGCTCCATATGTATGATTTCTCTAACGCCGTAAACTTGCTTGTTAGCTCACCTGGTACAGCACTAACATTGCGATACCGAGCATTCAGGTACGAGTCCTACTTTTCACGATACTCAATACAAGAATTGAAAGACTTACAGAAGCAAGCTAAAATGGAATAGCTGCTTCAAAAAATTAATTTTTATCTAATTTTTATCTGCTCAACAGTCGGTTAGGTTTAGTGTAGGAGGTATGTTATTGTCAAACACAAAAGAGCATTAACTCTTTTAGTGTAACTCACCAGACATTTCATTTCTGAACCGCAGAAATATGCCCAACAACCAACGTAATAAAATTTTGCCACATTCACTTTCATCAGTTCTGAATAAAAATGATTGAGCTTTAAGCGCCATATCAGTGGACACTTCATTTTCAAACTGCTGCAATGCATACAACAACCAATATAACATTTAGCCAAATTCACCTTCACCTGTTTCGGATAAAACTGAACAAGCTTTTAGCTCCAGTCACTAAACATTACATTTCCAAACTGCCACAATACGTACAATCACCTTCATGTGTTTGTAAAAATTACACTTAAAGGCAAATTACATACACATACTGGCCATTAATAACTTATTTATTAGAAAAGCAAATTTAACAACAAATAAAAATGTTTAAACAACCTTCTTACAAAAATATTGATTAAATAACATAAATCTTAATAAAATAAACAAAAATACCAACATAAACTGCATATTTTTTACTGATTTCTTATCTTTAAACAGGCAGTTTTTTCTTATTCTTCAACATTCTATTGTACTATCTCCATATTTTACAAAAAAAATATTGATTAAATAACATAACAAATCTTAATAAAATAAACTAAAATACCAACAACAAACTGTGCATACTTTTCAGAACATTTATTTGAAAATTTTTTCCACAACAAATTTAATGCATTCTTACTAAACAAAAGCATTAATGCCTTTCAAAAAAATAAATTAAAAATAACATTTATTATTTAAAATATAAATCTTACTGACAAACTTTTAAACAGTTGTGTACATAGAGAATCATCTACGAACTGATGACCTATCATAGTGGACCATTCTTTACATAAGACAATAAAAAGAAAAGTTAAGCATATAAAAGACTCCAGCTCCAGCTTCCAGCTACCACTGATAGCTTATCCATTGTTAAACTGTAAGAGACCCAGAGGCTTCGTTAAGCCATCGAGAACGTAATCACTTTCTGACGAGACTGACCACTTGGGCTTAGGAAAGCACACTTGCACGCGGGCAGATGTTTTCCTCAGGTTGTGAGGGGGTCTGGTTTTTGCTCCAGAGTTTCTAATGAGCAGCGAGGCGAGCCCCTAATCTTCTCCTGATCTGGATCAGCGACTCTTATGTGTTCCAGCACCTCCTTCGGAGACTGACAGCTTGGCGCTCATCCTCGTTTAGTGGGCCGGTCGGGTCGACCCCTTTAACGTTACGGCATGAGTTTTGACTGACTGAACTTTGATCTGGCGTCTCCATTGAGAACAAGAAACGAGTTTAGGATGCAAATCCCTTACTAGATTTACTGGTGCTTTGTGAAGAGGACAGAGGTATGATAAAGGTTAAGGAGGGCAAGTATCCCCTCTGAGACGGGGGAAAAAAGAGGAAGGGGGAGGACAAAATAAGGAAACGAGACTGAAAATATCCAATGAGGAGGAAAAAAATGAGACAGAAAATGCAGACAGAAAGAGTGAAATCTTTGGGGACTCACTAGTGTCCCCCCTAATCTCCATAGCAATCTGGAGAAACGAGACTGAAAATATCCAATGAGGAGGAAAAAAATGAGCGAAAGTTGTCCGAAAATGCAGACAGAAAGAGTGAAATCTTTGGGGACTCACTAGTGTCCCCCCTAATCTCCATAGCAATCTGGATTATGGGCTGGCAGGAGGGGTCTTTTCTGAAAACGGAAGAAAGAGGGGTGCGCGGACGCCACGGCGAGGGCTGTGAAGGGATTTGGGGGTGCTGGAGGCTGCTGGTCCATTGTAAAGGGCTTGAGGTTGAATAGAAGCTCCATGTCCTCCTGTCTCCTTGGGTTTTAAGTCCACCTATAACCAGCTAAGCGTGAGTAATCCACCTAAACTGTGAATGAGAGCAGCCAAAGCCCATTCACAGCGCTGGGTGGGTAGGAATTGATATATTTATTATAGGACACTATTTTTCCCACCCCCTGTTCTTAGCATGTATAAAAGTGGTTCTCCACTCCAAAAATGGGTCGCATTTCTGTTCTGATTGAGTTGTGGACAGCAGGTATAAAACAATGCTGAATGCAGATAAGAAAATGCAACTAATTTACCATATAATCTCGCATGGGTAGCATAGTAAAATAAAGAGGTTTGTCAATTTTTTAAAAGACAGACTAAATTCTGTCCATAGCTTTCAATGTTGATATATAAAGTTGTACGTCCAATCAAACGCCATGGTATTTTGGCATTGAAGCTAGACAAACAAGACTGATGACAACATGGACAGGCTGTGTTTCATGCACATAAAACTATGCAAAGCAAAAGAAACTAGAGTACTTCAAATCCAAATCAGTGTTATTTTCGTACCATTGATGTACGATTACAGTTTTTATTAACATTTTGAATTTTTCAGTTTTAATAATTTTGCTTTGTGTTTTTGTCACTTTTATTCTTTTGTGTATATATGTATATATTTTAGCTTTAGGTTATTTACTTTTAGTTATTTTAGTATTTCAAGTTGAACTAAACAAAAATGAGAAATGTGGCCTTGGCAACCAGTTGAAATAAAATAAGTGCAAGTTTTCTAATATTTTATATCAGTTAACATTTATTTTCTTTCAAGTAACCAAAATGTTTTTATTGTTTTAGTTACCTATAATAACACTGGTGTAAATTCATTAGCAACGAAGATTAATATTGTTTGTGCCAACCACAATATATTTGTACACTAAATTACTGACAAAGTAAGAATTATAATACATTTGCATGTGTAATTTTAAGGGCATTTGTTTACTGGATAAATATTATAATGAACAATTTTGCTTTTCAGTGCAGGTCATGACTTGATCTTTAATGTAAACCCTACAGATGGTCTTTTACCTGAACTCTTGGTTGGTTCTGGTAGCGCCAGGCGATTTTCATTGTGTCTGGATTCTCTGGGTCACTTGGCTGAGACTGACCCTCGCTGATTTTCATGCCGGCAACATCATCCACAATTGGAGAAGGGAGTTCCTTTTTTTTTTTTTTTAACTTACGAAAAGACAGAACATTAATTAACTAATTTATATACTACTACTACTAATAACAACAATAATTTTTAAATATATTTTAGACAGAATAAAATTAAAGAAAAAGTTGCAGAATAATGTCATTGTACTACTGTTATAACTTTTTTGCACCCACTGAAATTGAAGTCTTAAATGTTTATACTAGTTCATAAATGTAATCTGAATAAGGAAAGACTTTTTACCTGACCTTACGAAAATCTTTAGAGAAGCATTTAAAATTGAAACAGCATTTATGCAATATTTGGAATAATGTTTACGATGTCTATATTTTATCTCAAATATGTCGTCTATATTTTAACTGAGTTTGTGTGGGTATTGATGTTTCTAGAATTTTTACACTGTATCTAGGTAGACTAAAGCTAGTTTAAGTAGCTAGTAGCTTGGCCAAAGCTCACTGTGAAAAGGGAAATGAATGTCAAGTGACCTGTTTTAACAAGGCCAAAAATATGAATAAACACAAAATGGTGCTAGCACATTAAAAGCTGTTGTTTAAACAACAGGGTTGATGCTGTCGTTAATGCCAAAATGAAGGTGGGAACTGTGTCCCTTAGGAGAATGTTCATACAGACCATGCAATAACAAAAAAACAGAGACTGTTTCACAAATAACAGCTCAATGCAGGAGCTGTCTGAAGGGCAACAACAGGCCCTCATTAAGCTTGTGTTGACTGGGGGCCAATCTGGGGCCAGCGAGAGAGGAACTCCTGTCCACTGTCATTAAGGTGAGACTCGTTAACGCTCACAGGTAACTCCCTGAGCTCTTACACAAAAACAGTCATGTATCAGTCTATGAAAGCTTAGATGGGGTAGGAGAAGAGAGAGAAAACACTGGCTATGTTTGTAATGGAATATTAGTGTACTGCTTAAAAGCACACTGCACACTAGACATGACTACTGCCTAGAGCTTTTTAAATGCAGAACAAGAAACAGTATGCACATTTTAAACTACACTGATGCCTTACAGTCTTACTCTGTGAATGATGTCAAATAAAATAAAATGTGTCTGATTAAATAATAAACCAAGAAGATGTGAATGATTAAGATGTGTCTAAATAAATAAATAAATAAAATGGTCAAATACCAAAGATGTGAACAATGTAAAATAAATTAAATTAAATATACTACTACTAGTAATATTAATAATAATTAAGTAAGAAAAGATGTGAATGACAAATTGAAATAAAATACAATAAAAAATAGAATAAAATGCTTGATCAAATAATGAAGCAAGAAGATATGAATAATTTCAAAATAAAATAAAATGTCATATGAAATAATGAAGAAAGAAAATATGTTAAAAATTACAGCACATATTACTTCTGGTTACTTCATTGCTTAAGCAACGCAAGGTCAATTTGTGCGCATTGCATTGTGGGACAGATTTGGAATGTACAAAGCATGTATAAACTGCTATGCAGAGAAAAAAATAATACTATGACTATATAGTATTATTTAGTATACTATATAGTATATAGTAATACTATGTATACATAGACTATTGATTATGGTATTCTATTCCAAACAGTTTAAAAGAGTCCTTAGACCAAAAGTAGATACAGAAATCAGACTATATAGCACAGTCATAACAATACATACAGACATTGTGTCATGTTCGGTCACACGGTTCCTGACCAATGCTGAGAAAAACATTTTACTGAAAAAGACAGATTTCTCCAGGTTTATTGTTTTGAGAGCCAGGTACTAATTATATAAAAAGAATACGGCTGTAAATAATGGATTTTGATGTATTTGGAGTTCACAGAACCAAAAAACCTGACCAAAGTGTCGAAGAGGCAGAGTGTGAACACTTGATTTGATTTTCTTCATACCTGCACGATCTCATCAGGGTGATCTCGGGCGGATGCCAGGAAGAGTTCATGTCCGCACACAACTCCCTCCGCCAGGAAGTACCTGAGCAGCATGTGGGAGTAGCTGTCATAGCGGTCCTCCTCTGTGAACAGGAATCACCATCAATGCCACACATACCAACCCAAACATGAGCGCTGAGCCTTTTGACACACCTTGTGACAAAAGAACTGTCAGAGAGTCACTATCACATCAGATGCTGTAATTATCCCAACACAGAGAACAAAAACAAGACTAACCTCAGATGAAATCAGAAAACAACTGTTTATTCTGGTTGCTAGTGATGCCAAACACACTAGACACTTTGTGATACATGCCATATGGTAGGAGGCTAGTGTGACTGTAATGGATTCGGCATCTATCAGCAGCTACACTGTACCTGAAAAGTGTGAATATGACACTAAATTCCTCCTGTAGTGGAAATGTACATGTATGTCTGTTACAAAGCTGAACAGAGTATAAGAGAAAAGAACACCTGTCTTGATCTGTAAACCAGCTCTTCAACCCTGTGACGAACCTTCAGTGACAGATAACAGTTATACAGACAAACGTTTGCCAATGCAGACCTGATCATAGTTCTGAGGTTTTGAGATGCACATTTTCATCGAAACAATATTATTAGGTATTACTAACGCCTTCAAAATGGCATTACTATTACTGTGTTTGACACATTTTTGTACATATTAACACCCTTATAAAGCACCAAGAAGGTCTAAAATCGTTGGAGAAGGAGAAGGTTATTTGTTAGCATTTCAAAACGATTGCTTTAAAAAATGATAAACCGTGATTTTATGTAAACCATTTCCATAGCAATGTATACTGTACAACATAATACTATAGTTTTATAAAATATAAAATAAATTAAATACAATATATAATATAATTATGCTTAATTGCTGTTTTTGTATCAGGAAAAAAAGTTTCAACCTTCCATTCTTCTTGACAAACCCACACAGGTCTAAAGCCCCTGCGTGACCTCTGAAGGATTCCTCCAACAGCAGGACAGAATGAGGGATTTCCTGTCCTCGTCTCGATTCTGCCCACAAACCTGGATGCCTCTCATATTCCATCACCAATGAAGGAAAAAACAATTCCTCAGCTCTTCAATTTGTCATTGGAAGAACTCCCCTCTCCCTTATTGATGTGTTTCTAGGTCAGCAGGCCTTTGTGGCTTTCAGCGGCCCCGACAAAGACACCCAGATGGGCCCACTCGAGATGGGGCCTATTGTGGTGGCGTTTCTATGGTGCCTTACAAATAAAACCTGTGGGTGCTATTAGCCTAGCGGGGGTGTTTCGGGGGCAGGACGAGATGTGTTGGGGGTGCATATCTCTGCTGTAGAGAAAACACGACTCTGGCACATATCAGTCACCCAAGAGTTGGGACATCGAGAGACTTCCTATCTTTTCTGCCGCAGAGAAGAGAGGGTGTCTCTTTTGGAGAAAGAATAATGCAAGCCTAATGTAAGACAGTAGGAGTGTGTGTGCAGTGAGTGTGAGTCAGTCACTCAAAGCTGCAGGGGAAATTTGGGTTAACACTTCTGCCCTCCTGGTTCCATATGTTTGCTGTCTGAGTCCCACTGATTCACAATGGCACCGGAAATACAACTCGGAATTAAACGTGCAACCACTGAGGACACTTCTATCATGTATTTTAATTACTGTTGCATCAAATAATAACCGTTCAATTTGTGTATTTTTCAATATTAAAATAATTTCTTCTATAACATAATATGCAGAAAATTAAACCGATTACCTAACACAAGCACAATAAAATATTTCTGCATGTTTTAGCATCCTGTCCAGTCTTACACAGCAACACTGGCTCAACCAGTGATGTAAATGTGGGGCGGAGCTATCTATTTAACCATCCAATGGCAGGTGGTGTTCAGATTAATAACATTTTTTTTTTACCATTTGCTTTAGTACAACTTGTAACAAAAATTACACACTTCACCTGTAAGTTAATAACATCTGGAAAAAAAAGATGCAGTATATTAGATAAAGCTACAGCACACAAGTTAAGCAGATAATTTCTTTCCCATTTAGAATAATTTCTTTCCAATTTAGTATAAACATCTACTTGTCTAATACACATGTGGGTCACATGTTGGGGACATGAGTGACCTAGACAGGACTCAATACATCATAAAGAACCATGACCAATCCACTTTCAATGAAGTGAAAGAATGACTTCAATATGACAAAAGAATGCAAAGAATAGAAAGTAGGCCATAAAGATATAAGATCCTTATATGTTTTGATAATGATGAGCCACATCAAAATGAATCACTATTCAAAAAAAAAAAAAAAAAAATATGGCAGTCATTGAGTCTGGTTTATGTTCAGTGGAGGTGGAGACCACTGCAGGTGGGTGGGACTTTATCTATCTAAGGCGGTGAGGCAACCAATTGGGGTGAAAGTTTAAAAAAAAAAAAAAAAAAAAGATATGGCAGTCATATACTAGAGTGTAAAGTGTCAACTTTCTTAACCTTATATTTATATAAAAAAAAAGAAAAAATGATGAGGATGCAGTTATCCTTACAGAATTTCAAAAAACACAATTAATCTGTAATCAGAGTTATCACCATATCTAATGAGCTATCAGCCTACTGAATCATAATTTGAAGAATCAAAAGCAACTACATTATTATTAAAGGGGTCATATGATGCGATTTCAAGTTTTCCTTTCTCTTTGGAGTGTTACAAGCTGATTGT